GAAGAGCTGCCCTCCCTGGCCCTGGAGTTTTGGTCACCCAGTCCAGGTCTGGGGAGCCACACTCAGAAGGCTCAAGGGCCAAGAGGAATAGCAAGTTGTTCAGGGAGTGGCCTTGGCAGCCAAGGCAGCCTCCTTTTAGAGTCTGCAGCTCAGAGAATTGAGTCTCAATCTCTTCGCACAGGGCTTTGATCTGTCACCTTCTCCCTAGAAGTCTCAAGCTCTGCGTCAGGAGGCACTGCTAACTCTTGGCATTCCCAGAGCCAACCTAAATCACATCTCAAGTTCCCTGGAGCCTGTATGAGGGGCCCCCATGAAAAGGCATTTGTCCCAGGAGATGGGCATCAAATGGTTAACCATGTTTTCCCATTTCGCTCTCTGTTTTCTTGGCTGGAACTGTATTTTGCTATTTTCTTTCCATATCTCACCTCCTCTTACTCTTTCCCATTTCCACTGCTGCTTACCACTCTTCTCAATTTATACATTTTGTTAATATATTAGCGCCATCCTCTTCTCAGTCATTAATAAAGATGTTAAATAATCCTGAACCAAATACTCACTCCTGTAGAGCCCTACAGGACACTTTCCTTTAATTAGTTGTGCTACCTTTCATGTCTCTAATGTCTTTTGGTTTCAGTGTTCCAGCTGGTTTTGAATCCATGTGACTTTTGATCCAGTCCTGTTTGAACTGATTTCATGAGTGAAAATCCAAGAGACATTTTCCTGAGTGTTGATTCAGGTCCAGGCCTACAGAGAGCTTTGCCATAGTCAGATTTTTTTTAACAGATTAATAGACTGCAATTTGGCCTTAATAAACTGAGCCCTCCTAATGCACCTCTTTCCAATATTCTTTTCAATCATAGGCAGCATTTTCTCCATTAATGTCATGGCAATTTGAATTGTGTTGATGTCAGACTTCACAAAAGGTACTCTTACTGTCAGAAGTAATCCTCTTAGACCTTTTCAGAGATAACTATTTCTTAGTGGTTGTGCTATTTCCAATATCCTATAATGACAGTTAAAAATAAAAAATAAAAAGGATTGGGTATTCTATAAATCTCCTAATTAACCAGTTTCTAATGTGCTTTCTTATACAAAACAGAAAGTGAAAACCAGAGCTCATAGCAGTTTATGAAATAAGTTCAAATTGTGCAGCCATAAAAATAATCCTGAAGTCTTTGAAATGCAACTGACAGGAAGTAGACTATTCAGAGGTTAATTGCTGGACAACATAGGGCTGTGATGGTTATAGTCAATGACATTTTGATTTGATATATAGAAATCTTTGGATATAGAGTGAGGGAGGAATCTCACTATAGGGCTGTAAGAATTTGTCTCTTTGTATTGAGCTCAATTATGTTTTAAAGTTAAACCCTTCTGAAATGTATAAGCTTGTAGGGCTGGCTACTTTATGCCAGGTTTTATGAATTAACTCTTGATGAAAATACAAAAATTGATCTAAAATATCAAATGTGTAGAACCTTTATGGGGAGGTGATTCTTTGCCTTTTTGTCTGTACTGGATTTTCCAGAATCTTTATTAGTAAAAAGAAAGAATGTATTTCTTCTTTTTTCTTTTTTGTCTTTTTTTTTTTTTTTTTTTTTCTGAGATGGAGTCTCACTCTGTTGCCCAGGCTGGAGTGCAGTGGCGCGATCTCAGTCACTGCAACCTCCGCCTCCCAGGTTCAAGCGATCCTCCTGCCTCAGCCTCCCGAGTAGCTGGGACTACAGGTGCCTGCCACCATGCCCAGTTAATTTTTGTATTTTTAGTAGAGATGGAGTTTCACCATATTGGCCAGGCTGGTCTCAAACTCCTGACCTTGTGATCCACCCACCTCAGCCTCCCAAAGTGCTGGGATTACAGGCATGAGCCACCACACCCAGCCAGAAAGAATGTATTTCTAAGAATTCTTCACTTGATCTTAGCCAAAAGGCCGAGAAGCTATTTTTCTAAGAATTCTTGTAGCCATGCAGTGCAGCCATAGAACTGCCCCCTATCTTTTTTTTTTTTAAATGTTATTTTATACCTGCACTATTTATTTAGGAGGATCCTCTTGGCAGCTCTTTAACCCAAGTATTAAGATTAGAAGAGGTTCTATCAGCAAACAAAAGACAACTAAGCTGACCCTGTTTGAAAGCAGACTGGAAGCAGCCACTTTCACAAGACAGGCCAGGGCTGGATTCCATCCTAGATGGCCAAGGGAAATGTCTCCAAACAGTAAGGATGTAAAATCTTTTTGAAGTAGCAAGACGAGTCTCCACTCAGGGAAATAAAAAGTTAATAAGATGATGTGGTGAGTCCTCTGATGGTGTTTGTAGAGCCATTTAAGGAACAAAATATAACTTCCTTAAAAAATCTTTTTTTTTTTTTTTTGCATTAGTTGTAAGGCTCTCTCTATCCTCTGCAGAGAGTAGAGAAGTAGCACTTACTTGGCATGTCTGAAAATTTTGCTTGAGCAGACATCAGCCGGATAAATAGAAGAAACAGGAAGGACTATCTAGAAAGAAAAGAAACCTGGGAATCATAGTTGACTTGGATGTAAATGTGAGTCTGCACTGAGGTTTACAGAAAAACAGAAAACAAAATTCTGTCTTGCTCCCCTAAGAAGACAGCGGGCTCCTCTAGAGCAGAGGTCAGCAAATGTTTTCTACAGAGAGCCAGACTGTAAATATTTTAGGCTGCAGGCCGTATGTCTCTGCCGCAGCTACTCCACTCTACAGCTGCAGTGCAACAGCAGCCAGAGATGCTACCCAGACGAATATTTATGGGTGCTGAAATTGAATTTCATGTATTTTTATATGTTATGAAATATTCTTTTGCTTTTGACATTTTATCATTGGCCATGCAAAAGCAGGGAACGGGCAGGATCCGGCCCACAGACTACAGTTGGCCAACTCCTGATCTAGTGCACTACATAGATCATGTGTCCCCCACACATCTGGCCTAAGGACCCTGTAGGTGCTCAGTAAACACTTGTTCTCTTAGCTGTCACCATGTAAGAGCAAAGAGTAAGCCTTTTGCTATATAACACACACTTGACATTTGCAAGAGATTTATCTTGAAGGCTTTGCTAATCCCCCCATCCAAGTACACTCTAGCAGATAATTTCCCCCATAAAATGCAGTCAAGTATAACAGAATAATTAAAGTGACCCTTTTAGGCCCTTAGTGATTCTATAAATACAGGGCTAACGTCCTTCACAAAGTGATTAAAATAAATTCTGCTACCAAAATCAATTCTGTGTCCCGTTACATCATTGCTGTGATGACATTAACGATGAATTTACCTCAATCTGCAAAACCAATCCAAAGCACTGATGAGTGATGGGGACGACTGTGCCATGTAGCACCTGTGTGTGCCAAGAAGCAGAATGAGAAAAGGTCTGTTTCAGCAGGATGGGCAGTCCCTGCAGCCCAGCAGGGCCACCCTGATGAGCCTTCCATGCACAAAGGAGCAGAGGATACGCAATTGCTTCAAGAAACAGGTGTTAGGCAGGTGTTGGACATCACGGAGTTCTCCCAGTGGCTCAGGGCCTTCTTCCTGGACTTTGTTCTCCAAGTGGATGTACTCAGCATTTAGAATTTCACCAAATGTCATGTGATTTAACATCTCTAGACCTTGGGGTCATTTTCAAATATCAAGACTGTGAGTATATTCTGTGATGGTAGAGGATATGGGGGCAAAAAGAGTGTGAGTATGATGTTCATTCTTGTTAAAGATCTACTTGACTTTCTATTGGCTAGAATCTTAGAATCTTATGTCCTGTTTTGGTCACCATATTGTAGAAGAATACAGACTTGGCCAGGCATGGTGGCTTATGCCTGTAATCCCGGCACTTTGGGAGGCTGAGGCGGATGGATCACCTGAGGTCAGTAGTTCAAGAGCAGCCTGGCAAACATGGTGAAACTCCATTTCTACTAAAAGTACAAAAAAATTATCTGGGCATGGTGATGTGCGCCTATAATCCCAGCTACTGGGGAGGCTGAGGCAGGAGAATCGCTTGAACCCGGGAGGCAGAGGCTGCAGTGAGCCAAGATTGCACCACTGCACTCCAGCCTGGGTGACAGAGCCAGACCCCATCTTAAAAACAAAAAAGGAGAAGACAGACTTGCTGGAAATAGTCTTCAAAAGAACAGTCCAATGATCAGAACGATAGACAGTAGCATCTGTAGCATATAAGTGAAAGAAATCAGGATTGTTTTGTTTTGAAAAGGGAAAGTGATACTTGCTAACAAATAAGGGGCTTTTTTTTTTTTAAGGGAGAATTTGATTAGGCATCACAAATGGAGAAGGAAGGTGGCATTCGCCTACATGACATAAAGTCAGATAGCAAGGGACTCGAAGGGGACATGTGCTTGACCTTAGGCCTGATAAAGCCCGCTGAAACTGGGTAGCAAGCAGGAGGTCGTGGTGTCTACAAACCATGGATGGCCACAGTGGTTTAGACACCCAACTACTTGACATTAGGTGACCGAACAGGTGGATTTCGTGAGGTTTTTTTCCCTTGCAGTATCCTCCTGGATTCAAATAACCTCACTGTAACAAAAAATATGAACTGCTTTCTTGGGAATGAAATTTATCTGGAATGACATTTCTTTCAACTTAACAATGAGTCGGCCATTGGCCTACGGTCAATGCACTCTCTTTCTCTCCTTGATTTTGCTTACACGGTGAGCCTCCAGAGGCTGTAAGGCAGTGAGCATTTTCAAAACTCTAGTGATACCTCGCTCTTCAGACAGAATGTCAGACTCTTCGACTGTATTTTCAACTGTCTTGTGAGACAAAGACTAATTGGTTTGACCTCATGCTGTCACATGTTGAGAGACATGCGTCTGCCACACTCTTCCTTGAATTCATTGATTTCATTAAACACTGTCTGCTTGTGTTTGCAAAATGTTGTAATTTCCCAGTGATTTCTTCGAACTGCAGCGCATAAACAGACTTGTTGGAGCAGTGCCATTTCTTAGCTTTGATCTCCTGTTTTAATCTTTTATTTCCAATAGGCCTTCTACATTAAGTCCATTGAGCCACAGAAAATATCGACATTAGGGAAAAGCAACGTGATAGTAACGGGAGCAAACTTTACCCGGGCATCCAACATCACAATGATCCTGAAAGGAACCAGTACCTGTGATAAGGATGTGTGAGTCAAAATACTAATAGTTTATCCTTGGTAGCACAAAACTCAAACCTGTACCAAAGGAGTATCAGTGTGATTATAACCTTTGTATAGTCCAATTATTGCCGTGCACCACAGCGGACAATTAGTCTGAGTATTTGACGTAACATAATAGAATAATTTTAACAACAGATCTGAAGTTCATCGTGAGAGAATCTGTTCCATGTTATTCCCCAAAAATCTCAGTAGAGAGTCATTTCAGGATGTTGCCTGTTTTGGATCTTGAGTCATTTTCAGCAACAAAATCCGGTATATAGGGTCGTGAACATCGTTCATTAGGTGATGCACTTGAAAAAATGGTTGAGTACCTTGAAATTTGATGGGGAATTTTTTGAAGCAATTCTTCCAGTGTGCTACCCGAAATTGGAAAGAAAAAAAAAAAAGCAAAGCCTTTTGGATCCATTTTATGTGGAACTTTCATTATTCGTAGCCTTCTCTTTACTATTTTGGTTTTAGTCTCCAAAAATTAAATTACTACTATATAGAACAGTAGTAAAACAAGAACACCCCAACATAAATATCGGGTCAATGTATCTCTTGAACATCATTATTTTTATCATTTTTTTTTTTTTGAGATGGAGTCTTACTCTGTCGCCAGGCTGGAGGGCAGTGGCGCAGTCTCAGATCACCGTGCAACTTTTGCCTTCCAGGTTCAAGCAATCTTCCTGTCTCAACCTCCCAAGTATCTGGGACTACAGGTGCATGCCACCATGCCCAGCTAATTTTTGTCTTTTAGTAGAGACAGGGTTTCACTATGTTGGCCAGGATGGTCTCAAATCTCCTGACCTTATGATCCACCCATCTCAGCCTCCCAAAGTGCTGGGATTCTAGGCAGGAGCCACTGCGCCCAGCTTCTGTCTCTTCTTTCACCGACTCATCCCATTAGTAAAACTTGGAGAAAGAATTTTCAATTTTCACTGATGCCCTTGTTCAAATTGCTACTCCCCCCTCGCAGAAAGAGAGAGATGTGATAACTGCAGTTATTAAATAACACAACAGATTATTTGAGTTTTCTGCTTGTTAACTTGTGCAAGTTTGGGCTAATTTGAAGTAAAAGATGTTACAGTCTACACGGAGTATAATACTAAGCTTATTTTCATCATGGAAATGCATTTAAGACAATCTGCTGAAGCGTGATGTTTTGGTTTTTAACTACTAAAACAGATTTGAACAGCATTCTAATCTGCCATGCTTATTTACTGAATTTTCTGCTTTAATTCATTTTCTGCACACCACTGCCATCCCCTTCCCCTCATAGCAGTAAATTTGGAATATCTGTGATCTTGGTGAAAAAAGCCGCTCATTGGTGGCTTGCCTGCATTCTGCTATTTGCCAGAATTATCAAGCACACATTAGAGGCTGTATCTATGCAACATAGGTTTTTTTTGGTGCTGTTTATCCTGGCTAAATACCTTATTGCAAAATTCTTTCATTTTGTGTAGCAAAATCTGTGAAGTTAGACACCTGTGTATTCACTGAAAGGCAATCAACTTCATGGAAAATAAGTAGTTTTTCAGAGCATTACCCTGTTTCTGACTCTTTATGCCCTCATTTTAATTCCGAACGTGTCTTGAGATACTGCAGTTATTAAATTAAATGACTAGGAGACCTTTCTGCATGTAGCATTTCAGTAACCACATCTGTGTGGTGAACCCAAGTGCACAAGCAGTCAACATAATACCCAGTTAATCCTATACCTGAGTCCAGGCTGTAATCCCAAACTCTTTTAATATGGTACTTTTAAAATGGGGAATTATTTTAAAGAGAAAAATACTAGGAGTGGAATGACCTACATTTCCACTTCTCTTCTTCTAAAATTTATAAACAACTTTGAATTTTAATGATCAACCACTTTATGATGGATTTCCTAGAGCTTTGCTCTGAATATAAACTGAGTATGTGTGTCTGAGGTGAGGTGGCATAAGTACAACTGACTCAGATGTTTTTGAATTTGCCTTATCCTAAAGGGTTAGTGATAGCATTAATCATTGTGCACATGGCCTTTAAGTAGTAATAATAGATTCTCATGTAGCATGATTAGACTGAGCACTATTCAGGCGCAACCCAGGCTTCATGATTTGTGCTTTAGAGCAGGTGTCCCCAAACTATGGCCCGCGGGCCACATTCGGCCCCCTGAGGCCATTTATCCGGCCCCCTGCCGCACTTCAGGAAGGGGCACCTCTTTCATTGGTGGTCAGTGAGAGGAGCACAGTATGTGGCGGCTCTCCAATGGTCTGGGGAACAGTGAACTGGCCCCCTGTGTAAAAAGTTTGAGGACGCCTGCTTTAGAGGGTCATGGTAGACACACAGAGGAAGCTGCTGGTAACGGGGAATGTTGGAGAAGGCTTCACTCTGACTCTGGAAGGGCACCAAGGGTCAGCTCTGCTGGACATCAGGAGCACCCCAGACAGCCCCATTAAGTCCCATTCTGGAGACTCCTTAGCAGGGCAGGTTGGTCCCAATGCTGACTGATTCTGAAACGCCTGGGCTTTTGGTTGAGACCCTCTCTGAACAGCAGAATTCCCATCTCTGTCTGGTGTTGGGTTCTACCATCTCAGTGCTTGACTAGGGCCTTTTCGCTTAAGCTTTTTATTATGGAAATTCAAACATATCCAAGAGAGATGAGTGTTATGAACCTCTCTGTAGCCATTCCCAGTTTCAAAACCTATCAACAGTTCGCCAATCTTGCTTCATCTATCTTATCTTGGGTTTTGGGGGGGATCATGGTGGGAGGCATGATGAGAACCAAACACCATATCCTTTCACTCATAAATGCTTCAGTATCTCTCTAACAGATAAGCATAGTGCCATCATGATACTCAACAGAATTATCCAGAATTCTTAATAAAGGTAATCACCAGTTCATGTTCCGCTTTCTATTAGTACTTTTAAAGGCAATGGTTACACCTCTTTCCTTCCCCACTTCTAAGGGCCATGCAAATAAGAAAGATAAAATTGCTCTAAAGAAAGAGGAACCCAGCCTCTAATAATACCCAGCTTGGGTCATTGGCCCCTGATGAGTCAGTAGTTTCCTGCAGCTCTTCCGCTCCTTCGTCAAGTGTTGTAGTTCAAGTGAAATTCATCTGGTGTCACCTTGGGTGATCAACTGTGCTCTGTCTGTGTCATGTGAGAGTTCTTTTTCTTCTCCTTTCTAGGATACAGGTTAGCCATGTGCTAAATGACACCCACATGAAATTCTCTCTTCCATCAAGCCGGAAAGAAATGAAGGATGTGTGTATCCAGTTTGATGGTGGGAACTGCTCTTCCGTGGGACCCTTATCCTACATTGCTCTGCCACATTGTTCCCTTATAGTTCCAGCTACCACCTGGATCAGGTACTTTCTGGATTCATAATCTTTTTCTCTCATTGTGGTTAAGGGTCATATGCACAAAGATCATTGATTTTATTCAAGTCAATTCAGAAACACTAGTCATTCCAAATTCCTCTCACAGAGTTCCCCTTAGGATTTATTCCTAGAAAAATGCATACCTGACAAGGCGTTTACTTCCCATGCTGATTGTGAACACTATGAGCACATCTACTTTTTCTCTTCACCATGGCTGCTGGGAAACTCACAGTGGAAATGTTTGTCCTTAGCCTAGGTTTTTGATACAGATATATAATACTCTTCACTATGTGTCCCTCCTGCTTGTGGTAAAAGACTATTTCTTACCTCTTTCATTTTATAGACTTTAGAGTAAGCTGTTTTGAATTATTTGGGGGATATGTTAGGAGCTATCAAAATGAAAAGCAGAATCAGCATTTTCAAGATGTTCCCTAAGCAGGAGATGAAAACTCCAAAATAAACACTCCCAGATAAATCCAATATATTAAGAAAAAAATTTCTCTTCCGATTTGAATTCTTGTATTTATTACTATTATTATTTTTTTCATGTTGATGGGTATAAGATACTTATACATGTTTATGGGGTACATGTGATATTTTTCTGCAAGCATACAGTGAATATGTAATCATCAAATCAGGGTAATTGGAGTGTCCATCACCTCAAGCATTTATCATTCCTTTGTGTTAGGAACATTCCAATTCCACTCTTCTAGCTACTTTTAAATGTGCAACAAATTATTGTGAATTATAGACACCCTACTATGCTACTGAACCCTAGATCTTGTTCTATCTCATTGTATTTTTGTAGCCATTAACCAACCCCTCTTTATCCCTCTCTGCCCCCGCCACACTGCCCTTCCCAGCCTCTGATACCCATAATTCTACCCTCTATCTCCATTAGACCAACTTTCTCAGCTCCCACATATGGGTGAGAACCTGCAGTATTTGTCTGTCTGTGCCTGGCTTATTTCACTTAACATAATGTCCTGCAGTTCCATCTGTGTTGCTGCAAATGACAGGATTGCATTCTTTCTTGGTAGGCTGAATAATCCTCTTTGTGTATATCTACCACATTTCCTTTATCCGTTTATCCAATGACAGACACTTAGGTTGAGTCCCTGTGTTGGTTATTGTGAATAGTGCTGCAATAAACTTTCTCCCTAGTTGAATTTAAATTCACTTTCATAATATTTTTATTCCTACATCTCTTTAGGACTAAAATCCTAAAGATATTTTCTTTGTCTGACACAGTACAAAGCTCATTTTCAAAGTACTCTTTAGATAAACCTACAGACAAAGCTTTGCTAAAAAAAAAAAAAAAAGAATAAAAGGAGGGGAAGAGAAAGAGGAAAAAAGAAGAGAAGAAAAAAATCACTTTTAATATTCTAAGATCAAGTGAGAGGAGGCTATATTGGTTTGCTAGGGTTGACATAAAGTGCCACGACCTTTGTGGCTTCAACAACAGAAACTGATTGCTCCCTAGTTCTGCAGCCTAGACGTCTGAAATCAAGGTGTTGATAAGGTTGGTTTCTCCTGAGTCCTTACACCTTGGCTTGTAGATGGTCATCTTCTCCCAATGTCTTCACGTGGTCTTCCCTCTGTATCTCTTTCTTAATCTCCCCTTTTTATGAGGACATCAGTCACGTTGGATTACGGCCCACCCCAGTGACCTCATTTAGCCTTCATTACCTCTTTAACCACCCCCATCTCCAAATACAGTCCCATTCTGAGGCAGTGGGAGTTAGAGCTTCAACATACACATTTGACGGGGACAGAATTCAGTCCATAACAGTAAGACAAGGGAAACTGAAATTTCAAAACCAAGTCTCTCCCATGACATCCCCCACTCTGGGATCAATTCCATTCTCTATATAAAAAGAATCGTTGACGTGGCAGTCCCCACGTGCCTGGTGTGTTCATCTGTTGACTAGGTTAATCCTCATAAAACAAATTTATGAGATCTGCTATGGCTTGTCCCTTTTGCGAACGAGGGAACTGGGGGAGGAAAAGGGTTCGAACAACTCACCCAGCCTCCCAGACAGTCACTGCAGTGACTTGCTTTGCTATAAAGTAAGAGGCTCCTTACGGTCCTGTCACCCATGACATTCTGAGCCTTTGTGTCTCGGCTGCTCCCGGGTCACTGTGCCTTGAGCATGAATGTGGCTCTAAGTGCTGGCCATCAGGAGAGCACGCTTGGCTTGGTTTTCGAGTAATGGCTACAGACTGGCATGAGGCCAACTCAGCTCTTCCCCATTGTGGCTGGAGGATTCAGGGATCAGTGTCTTCTCTCTGCCCTACACAAATTGGGTTGCTCAGCGTCACCTCCTGGTCTTGCCATCAGGGGCTCAGATGGCTATTGGACCTGACACACTCAGGCTCTCATCCCCTAGAATGAGTGTCTGGTGACCTCTGTGAACAGGGGTGCAAGGGCAGACAGAGCTGTAGACAGCTGTTTATTTCACACCCAGTGACCGCTTTGCTTGTATGCACTGAGAAACGTGAAGTTATTTGGCTTGGTTTTAGAGAGAGCGAATGTAGCTGTTATTTATATGGCATACCAAATAGGAATTTACACTTTTAATGCCATCGGTAATTTTACCTTGCCCAAAGTGGTTTTCTGTCTCTAAATAACATATCATTGGTAGGTTAGGAGTTTGATTTTGAAAATGGTTAGACTGAAGCATCTTTATATAGATTAAACAGTAATCAAACAAAATTCTGTTTAGTGAAACCTTTTCAAGGTACAGCTCCTGATCTGATTATATGTGGCGATATGACACAACAAAATTCAAATTCCATTAAAGAATCTGGGCATTTTCCTAGAATTAAAATAGAATCTGACCTGAATTTTTATATTTATGCATCTTGAAAACCATGAATTTGTAGCTGGTATCCTAAAAGATTTCTAACACTGTCCTGTATTTCAAATTAAAATTCATTAATTTGCTCTCAAACATAATTGAGTTTAATATTAAACATGAATAAATTGATAGCTTTGTTCATAAACGCAAATGCCTGTGTGTTAGCTATGAACCCCTTACTGTTGCTTTTATTCCTTGCAGCGGTGGTCAAAATATAACCATGATGGGCAGAAATTTTGATGTAATTGATGACTTAATCATTTCACCTGAATTTAAAGGAAACATAAATGTAAGTCTCCAGCTGCTTTGTAATAATAGTTGTTTTCAAGGATGGTCCTATTTTCATCACACTGTACTATGTTGGGGGGTATTTTTTATTTCTGTGACTTTGGTGTTATAAACTTTTACCTATGCTATCATATATACTATCTGTGCTAGAATGAAAATAATAAGACCTTATCCTTGTAGCTGAGTATTTCTAGTTGCAGCAGTGAGGAAAGAGAAATGCACTTGGTACAATAAGACCTGACATTTTCTTTTTATGTAATTTGTGGCAAGTCACCTTAATGAGGCAATGCTTACGAATACGTGTGAAATGCTTCGTGAATGGTTAAGGTGTGATACAAAGAATTGCATTTCTGCGAAGAGTAGGTGGCGGTGTTCCCGTTGCAGACAGAGCTGGGGTTCGCAGAGGTTAAATGACTTGCAAAGTCCCAGGAATCTTGTTATGTGTTTCTCCTTCTCTTTGACCTGATTTGTTCCCTACCATCTGATGTCACCTCCTCTTGCCTTTCATCTCCCCGCAGGAGAAACTATAGGAGACGCCTGATCTCCACCCTTCCCAGCCCCCCTCCTACCAGTGCCTCTGGATGGGGATCCTCCAGAGCAGGGGTGTCCAAACTTTTGTCTTCCTTTGGCCACGTTGGAAGAACTGTCTTGGGCCACACCTAAAATACACCAACACTAACGATAGCTGATGAGTGAAAAAGTGATTTGTGCATAATTTCCGTGATATCCACCACCACAGATAAGCAAAAAAAGTCCTTACATTCAAAAGGCTGGACACAGCTGCTCTAGATGGGAGCATCTGTTGCCAAGAGGGGAGATGAGGGATTTCAGGTACAAGTCAGACCTCCAAGTCTACTTGTACACGCTTCTAAATGTCCTTCCCCTTTCTTTCTTCCCCTGTTTTCCTCTCTTTGATGAGATCTGTGAGGTGGCTGCCTCTCTGGGGCCCTGCCTGACCACTTCCTGCCAAGACTGATAGGCTCCTTACTCGGGAGCAGTGTGGGTTCAGACCCAAATTCTGGGGGCCTCCTGTAGGCCATCCTTACAGCCTTGTCGTGCACACATTTGCCTGCTGACAGAGTTCAGAGCCACTTCCAAGCCTCACACTGGATGTGATTCCAGGCCACGCCTCCGGTTGGATGACTTATATAGTTTGACCCTCTGACCAGAGGCATGGCCTGAGTTTGTCACTGACAGCCTCTTCCTCCCACCTGCTGTTCCCAAATCACATTGAATTTTTTGAGCACCTACTGCAGGCAAAGCATTTTGCTGGGTGCAGGGACAAAAGATTGAGATTGTCATATTGCCTTCATGGAGGCAGGCAGCAAATCTACACGGGGATTGAAAGTTGAGGCTGGACGTGGTGACTCACCATTACAATCCCAGCACTTTGGGAGGCCAAGGCAGGAAGATTGCTTGAGGCCAGGAGTTCAAGACCAGCCTAGGCAACATAGTGAGATCCCCATCTCTGTAAAATAAAATGAATATTAAAAAAGTTGACAGCACAGACTGTCATCAGGTTCTAGGTACTCTGGTTCCCTAACAGTTCAGAAATGCTGTGAGTCCAAGAAGACACCATGTGTTTTCACATGAAAGAGAAATGAAACATGGATGGGATTGAGTACGCCTGTAGGATGGAGTGGGGTGGGTGGAAGCAGAGAGGTGAGTTCAGGTACAGAGGACAGAGCCTCGCAGGCCTGTGCTGGGAATGTCACTCAGTCCTGCTCCGTGGGAACCTAGAGGATGGGACGGGAATGAGCAAGAGGGATAGCTGTAAAGCTGAGCTGGAGCAACAGAAGGCGGTGTCAGACTGAAAACTCTGCCCTTAATTCTGTAGGTTGCAGGGAGCCACTGAAGATTTCTGGGCAGGGAGTGACATCTGTCTGGACTTGCACTGTAAGGCGAGTGGACCTAGACAGTTAGTGACATGAAAGCAGTCAGAGTTTCTCCATGGGAAAAGAGACTGTTTGGAAAGAGGAGGCTAGGGAAAGGGGGGATTCTCACCCCAAGGGCCTCGGTGTCCTGTCTGAGCGCTGGGAAACCACGAGAAAAGAAGAGTGTCTAACCCCCAGCAGGGGCCAGCTCCTGAAGTGCTTGTTGCCGCTGAATCGCTCTTTGTTGGGGAAACTCCTGCTGGGCGGTTATTATTTTGGCAATGGTGCACAGCTGGGCTTGGAGAGGCAGGGACTGAAGAAAGGCTGGGAGCCCAGGGAGGATGCTTATGCCAGTGCAGGTGTGTCTGAGACGTCTGCCGTCTCTCCCGGCTGACAGCAGGTCCTTCAGGCTCCGGTGAGCAGAGTGTCAAGGGCTGGGGTGTGGTGACGCTCAAGATGACCAGCTTGTCTTTACACCATATCGTTAAAGGGGGCGTGGGGGTGACATCATAGGAGTGAGAGCACCGAGGACTGGTAGCAAGGCTTCATTTTAAGGACTGAAAGACAGCAGGATGGGGCGGTGAAGGTAGCCGAGAAGGTGCTCAGAAACCAGAGGAGAAAAGCAAATGGCATGGCGGGAGCTGCTCACGAATAAGGAACTGTAGAGTCTTGAGGATCATGAGGTTGGGTGATCCTCTCGCCGGCAATCCTTCCAGAAGGCATCTTCAGTAAAAAGCCAGCCTGCTAGGAGTGAAGGGTGCGCAGACAGTAGAGACCATGGTTTTCATCCTGTGGACAGAAATGTGAGTGGGGGCTGTAGTTTGGAGAGATGCGAAGGGGAAGGAAGGTCGGAAGGTCATGCTTGTCCATATCTCAGCTCTTTACATCAGATTTTCCCACCAACTGCCTCTTCCTATTATCTTTTTTATACTCTAGCATCACGGGGTGGCGGGGGCAGGGGTGGGGAAAAATAGTTTTCCCCACCTGACAGATTTCTTTTTATGAGTTATAATCGGTCTTCTTTAGAATGCTTGCCACTCTCCCTTAACCCACCAGCCTTCTCTGCCTGGGAGGGAGATAGTATTGCCGCACCTAAGCAGGACAGTATATTTATGTTATGTATTTACTCACTTTTTACATTTTATTATATTTTTAAATAGAGACAGGGTCTCGCTATGTTACCCAGGCTGATCTCTAACTCCTGGGTTCAAGCGATACTCCTCCCTCAGTCTCCCGAAGTGCTGGAATTACAGGCATGAGCCATTACCCCCCGCCTACTTATGTTGTCTTTTTTAAAAAACTAATAAGCCTGTAAATCAGGCCACCTTTTCTGCATTGTTTTCCATTCTTGAGCTCTTCATTTCATGGGGGATGCCTTGCTCCTTTTACTTTTGTTTTCTGTTAGCCTGAAAGCCTTTTCCTCTTTGTGGCTGGTGACTTCTGCTGAGGCTCTGCAGGAGGTTCCCCAACAAAGAGCGATTCAGCGGCAACAAGCACTTCAGGAGCTGGCCCTTGCTGGGGGATTAGACACTTTTCTTTTCTCGTGGTTTCTTAGGACTCAGACAGGCTAACTCCAAAGACACCTAAGCCCCTTGGGTCAGAATCTTTTCCTGTCCCTAACTTACTGCTTTCAGCCTGGCCTCTTTTCCCATGGCATAACCTTCCAGCTGCTTTCCTTGTCACTCATGAAATTCATCATAAGATTGACTCGCATGTTTTGAATGTTACTGTCTGCCAGGGCCTGTTCTTAGCATGAATAATCTCATTTAATGTAGCGCTCATTTAATGTAATGCAGGGTTAAGTCAGTCCTGTGAGGGAGATAGTATGGCTGATCCCATATTGCAGATGAGAAAACAGAGGCACCAAGAAGTGAAGTTGCTCAGGTCACTTAGCTCTTAGCGACCAGAGCCGGGATTCATTAACGAACTTGAAAATGTTATTTTCTTTTCTCCCAGGTCTCTGAGTATTGTGTGGCGACTTACTGCGGGTTTTTAGCCCCCAGTTTAAAGAGTTCAAAAGTGCGCACAAATGTCACTGTGAAGCTGAAGGTACAAGATACCTACTTGGATTGTGGAACCCTGCAGTATCAGGAGGACCCCAAATTCACAGGGTATCGGGTAGAATCCGAGGTGGACACAGAACTGGAAGTGAAAATTCAAGTATGCTGCTTTTTTTTTGTTTTGTTTTTCTGGGTGGGACATCGCCCCGCCTTTTCGACTGGAAAGGTGTGTTTACGCTTGTGAGTTTCCACATGTTCTCTGATTTCTCCATCTTCATTTTTCTTCATAGAAAGAGAATGATAACTTCAACATTTCCAAGAATGACATTGAAATTACTCTTTTCCACGGGGAAAATGGGCAATTAGATTGCAGTTTTGAAAATATTACTAGAAACCAAGATCTCACCACCATCCTTTGCAAAATTAAGGGCATCAAGACTGCAAGCACCATCGCCAACTCTTCTAAGAAAGTTCGTGTAAGTGACCTGGCAGTCCCACCTGCTGTCTTTACCTGATTTTTGTGATAATTCCTTGGCTAAACCAGAGGCCAGAATGGAATCTTTCATAGATCTTCAGGTCCTCACTTTAAATAAACAAAGCAGGTACTGCAAGCCCAAGCAGAATAGCTCCAAAATAGCTGGCTGACTCCATCCCTGGGCCTGTTTGAATGTCAAAGCGTTGGACACACCATTGTCTGTAATCCTAATGAGTCTTGATAGCTTTTGTTCCAGCCATACATTTATACAGTAGCATCTGCAAGCAAAATCTCCAGACCCATTGACAAATGAGCTGCCACTCTTTTCTCAAATGCAGAGGTGACAGGTCTTGGTAGAAACCCAAAACAAACAAGGCTCTCTTCAGCACACTCGGGGTAGCATTAGAATCTGATGGAAACCAAATAATCTCTGGGTCATAGGCTGCTTCCTTCACCATGAAGTCAAACTTTCTGTGATTAATCTTTCCCCAGACATGTTTGGGGGACCCATCCCTGCTACATTTATGTCCCACAGTAAAGATGTGAGGCCACTGAGAAGGGAAACATATTAGAAGTCACCCTTTATAGTGTTCATGCCATATGAGGCTCTGTATAGCCTACATTGAAAAATCCTTTTTGATCTATCATCATAAATAATTGGATAAAAGACAATGAAAAAGAACTTCAGCCAGGCAGCGTGGCTCACACCTGTAATCCCAGCACTGTGAGAGGCTGAGGCAGACAGATCACGAGGTCAAGAGATTGAGACCATCCTGGCCAACATGGTAAAACCCTGTCTCTACTAAAACTGCAAAAATACACTGGGCATGGTGGCGTGCGCCTGTAGTCCCAGCTACTCAGGAGGCTGAGGCAGGGGAATCACTTGAACCAGGGAGGTGGAGGTTGCAGGGGGCTGAGATCGCACCACTACACTCCAGCCTGGCAACAGAGCAAGACTTTGTCTCAAAAACAAACAACAACAACAAAAAAACAAACTTCAGACTGGAAGGCAAAACCAAAAATGTGTTCATGTCCCAGTGGCACCCGTTAATAGCTCTGTGGCCTTACATAAGTCACTTGACCTTCCTGAGCTCCTCTTTGTCCATCTGTATGGTAAATGAGGGTAATAATAAGTTTTATTTATTTATTTTTTTAGACAGAAGTTCACTCTGTTGCCCAGGCAGGAGTGCAGTGGCGCGATCTCGGCTCATGGCAACCTCTGCCTCCCAGTTTTAAGTGATTCTCATGCCTCAGCCTCTCATGTAGCTGGGATTGCAAGCGCATGCCACCACGCCCAGCTAATTTTTTCTATTTTTGGTAGAGATGGGGTTTCACTGTGTTGGCCAGGCTGGTCTCGAACTCCTGGTCTCAAGTGATCTGCCTGCCTTAGCCTCCCAAAGTGCTGGCATTACAGGTGTGAGCCACCACGCCCAGCCAATAAGAAGTTTAAAATCAGCAATAACAACTAGGCTGGGAGAGGCAAGTCATGCCTATAATGCCAGCACTTTGGGAAGCGAAAGCGGGAGGATCACTTGAACCCTCGGAGGTCTGGGCAACGTGGTGAGACCCTGTCTCCCTAAAAAAAAATGGAACAACAGCTCATCTCAGTGTTCCCCTCTTTCCTGTTGAGAAGAGCAAACGCTGGCATTCTTCATCATTCAAGACGTAGCTCCTGAGAGCCTGCACCGTGATGGGGACAGAACAGAGAAGTAAACAGACAAAAACATCTGCCTTTACGGAGGTTCCCTAAAGAGACACAGTGTGACGAATATAAATAAAAATTGTGTTACTTGGTGGCAGTTGCTATGGAGAAAAAAAGCAGCAGGTGGAGGGGGTGGGAATAGGCGCATGTGGGGGCCACGCTGCGGGTTTTGCAATGGTGGCCAGAAAAGGCCTGCTTGTGAAGGTAACATCTGTGTGAGGAGGAGGGGGAACAAGGCATGGGCTATCTGGGTTAGAACATTCTAGGCAGAGGGCGCAGAGGATGCAAAGGTCCTAAGGCCAGAGGCTGCCTAGTGTGTTTGAAGAGCAGCAAGGAGGCCAGTGTGGCTGGAGTGGAGGGAGCAGAGCAGAGTCTTCCAAGGCTGGAGAGTTCACGGAGAGAACAGGAGGTGATGAGGACCTTGTGGACCACGGCAAGGGCTTGGCTTGTGGGCTGGGGAAGCCATGGGAGAGTTTAGAGGAGGGCGCCACGAGCTATTTAAATGGTGTCGTGCAGTTAGTCATCATGACAGCCTACCAAGAGGCGCTCTCCACATCCCATTTCAGAGATTAGGAAAAGGCCTGGATGTGCATGCCTAATGCAGGATTCTGCAGCTGAGAAGCAGAGCAGGTGGCAGAGCTGGGGTGGAGAGCTTCAGCTGTCTGGGTCCAAATCCAGCCTCCAGCCGCTGTGCTCACATGCCTCCATGGGGGCAGCATGGGTCCAAGGATGGAAACACACCTTAATACTTGTCTGTACATCAGTGAAATAGTTAAACGGCATGTAGGGTTTTCCCCTTGACAAGTTTTACAAAATATTTATAATACAAAATGCTAAAACTGGAAAAAGCCATCAGGGATGATCTGATCAGCATGGCCAAACTGGTTTTTGCCACAGAATGTTTTATTCAAAATAGGATGCCAGGTACAATGGCTCACACCTATAATCCCAGCAGTTTGAGAGGCTGAGCTGGGAGGATCGCTTGAGTTCAGGAGTTCGAGACCAGACTGGGCAACATAGCGAGACCCTGTCTCTACAAAAAATTTAAAAATTAGCCAGGTGTGGTGGTGTGCACCTATAGTTTCAGCTACTTGGGAGGCTGAGGTGGGAGGACCGCTTGAGTTCACGAGTTCAAGGCTACAGTGAGCTATGATCATGCCACTGCATTCCAGCCTGGACAGCAGGGCAAGACCCTGTCTCTAAAACAAAAACAAAATAAGCCTGCCAAGAAGCACAAGGTGTAAAAAAGATAAAAGCTGAGTTTCTTCCTTAGAATAAAGGGTAGGGGGCTTCTCACCCACAGGCTGCTGCCTCGTTATTGCCCCCACTCCTGCAACTTAAAACCCCCAGAGCAAAGAGGGCCAAAGTTAAGACTCTGAGGGTCTAGTCCGGCACACATCAACTGACATTTCAGGAAACTGAGGCACAGTGACTGGATTTGCGCAAGGACATATAGCTCATCTGCCACAGAGAAGAGAGTTGAACTCAGATATCCTACCCAGCTCACTGCTTATTTTTGTATTGTGAAACCATTTTAGGCGGGAAACGATGTAAATAAATACAGTACCCAACTCGATTGGGTCTAATGACATTCTTTGTCCTATCAGGTCAAACTGGGAAACCTGGAGCTCTACGTGGAGCAGGAGTCAGTTCCTTCCACGTGGTATTTTCTGATTGTGCTCCCTGTCTTGCTAGTGATTGTCATTTTTGGTAAGTGCCCTGTTTAATTTTGTCAGAGAAATTATTCCCTGGGGACTCTCGCCAGGCAGGCAGGCAGACTTTCCGCTTTCAGGGGTTGTTTGCTTCAATTAAATATAAATGGGTGAAAACCCAAATCAAAACTTTGGGAAACAAATAATAGGTGCACACTGAGGTCTTTCTAAATGTTTCCTTTGGCTAGGTACAGTGGTTCACTCCTATAATCCCAGCACTTTGGGAAGCTGAGGCAGGGAGATCACCTGAGGTCAGGAGTTTGAGATCAGCCTGGCCAACTGACAAAACCCCATCTCCACTAAAAATACAAAAATTAGCTGGACATGGTGGCAGGTGCCTGTAATCCCAGCTACTCAGGATGCTGAGGCAGGGAGAATTGCTTGAACCCGGAAGGCTAAGGTTGCGGTGAGCCGAGATCACACCACTGAACTCCAGCCTGGGCGACAGGGCAAGACTCCATCTCAAAGAAAAACAAAAACAAAAACAAAAAAACACAAAGAAAAAAAAAAAAAAATTTTTAAGGATGCTTCATTAATAGAAGGCTGGGTTACATAGATGGTATCTTGGGATTTGAGGGATATAATCGACATTGCTTCTCCATTCCTTCAAATTGTGATACAAACGTTCATTTATATCATTCCCTAAGAACTTCTCTGGGATTTGGGGCTCCCAGGACTTGGTTATTTCATCCTGATCACCCTGCCATCTGCCACCGTAGTCTCATCCCAGCCTTGATTTTTCTGGGAAGGCTGAGGCAGGAGGATTGTATAAGCCTAGGAGTTTGAGGTTACAGTGAGCTATGATCATGCTGCTGCATGCCAGCCTGGACAACAGAGTGAAACCATGTGTCTAAAAAAATAAATCTTAAAAAAAAAAAAAACAGAAGTGTGATCTGTGTCATCTCTTAAAGCGGTCCCAGGCTCATCTGCACACAGTGAGCCCATGGTGGTGGCTCACTGGCTAAATCTGGCCCACCAATATGTTTGTTTCACCCATGTAGCATTTTCTAAAACTATTAAGTAGCTTACTAGTGATTCACATTTTGAAACATCTCTTGAAAATGTGAAAGATTCAGATCATTGGATCCCAATTTTTCTGTAGCATCAGTTAATTAGAGCTGAGTGGCAGCTATGCCCTTGAGTTTTGACCACAGTTGCCACCACTCCATATTGTCTCCATCCAGGCCATTTGACTCATGTATATACCTGATTTCTGCAGCTATTTTGTTTGCGACTCTGGTTCTGAGCTGCTTGTCGCTTCAAGTCTATTTCCTCTTACCCTTCTTTGAAAAAGGAACTCTTCTCCACCAACAAATAGAACTTCATAGTTCTTGATTTAACGTAGGTATTGCCCTTCTCAAATTTGATGGCTAGTAGAGGCAGTTGCCACGTCTCCTTCCATACACTCATTTATTCGTTCATTCATCCCTGCATCTATTTACCTTACGTTCATCGAGCACCTGTTATGTTGCTGATAACTGTGCAAGTCTCTGGAGCTATAAAAAATGAGCCTTTGCGTGCACAAGCCAGAGTTGTTCAAACTGAGGCCTGAGGAACAATGGGCCCAAGTGACGCTCCCGGAAAAAGGGGTTCCATGGTCAAGTAAGTTTGGGAATCACTACATATGCCATCCTTTCTTAGACATGCACAATGCATGTTATTAAGACTGTTGACTTTATGAAGGAGTCCAGTGAGGAAACGTATTTGTTTCCTCTAGCATCATTTAGACCTGTTGGTAGCAGAGCTCCTCTATTATGCAATTTGTTTCTTTCCTTTTTTTTTTTTTTTTTTTTTTTTTAAAGAAAGAGTCTCACTGTTTTGCCCAGGCTGAGTGCAGTCACACAATCACAGCTCACTGCACCTTTGACCTCCTGGGCTCAAGCGATCCTCCCACCTCAGCCTCCCAAGTAGCTGGGACGACAGGCATGTGCCATCACACCTAGCTAACTATTTTTTTTTGTAGAAACGGGGTCTTTCTCTGTTGCCCAGGCTGATCTCAAACCCCCTGGCCTCAAGCCATGCTCCCATCTCAGCCTCTCAAAGTGCTGGAATTACAGACGTGAGCCACCGCACCTGGCTGTAATTTGTATAAGTGAGGAGAAGCTTCCTAGAATACTAACGATGGTTGGTTGTTGAACACCTATACTTTTTAAATAATCTGTTCTTAATGCTTTTTGTGAGTTACTTCTTATCATCCTCCCAGCATCGTAGTGAGACAGGCACTCTTGAAGAGAAGGCAGCCAGGCACAGAGATGCTGAGGAACTTAACCCAGGTCACACGTGGACCCAAGCAGCGAATCGGGTTGGTTTACAGCCTATGCCGCACAGTTCAAGGCAATATGGAGATACGGAGTTCCTTGTGGCTCGCTCATCATGTCACCCCATTGGCTGTATGCAGGCTTGGCTCATGTAGCCAACTATGGATCTGCGGTTCCTTTCTGCATTTGCGGCACAACTTTATTTCTCCAGGGATGCTTAGAAACATTCAGAAAGAATGGGACGATGCAAGTGGCTGCAGCTGTGGGGAAACCTGGCTTGTTTCATTACGTTTCCGCCACTGGGATCTTTGCTTATAAGTGAAGGTTATTTGATTTAGCTTTCACTTGTAAAATGAGTAAGGGTTTGTTTTTGCTCTGTTGCATTTTAGCATCTTCCTCTTTAGAGTGACCCCTCACTGGGAAGTTTTCTTTTTCATAGGATCCAGTTCTTTAATGTTACTTTTTAGTCTCATTCTAGCTCTTGCTCTCTGTCCCTCTATGTTTTGGTTTTGGTTTTTTTAAGAGCTCTAAAGGTTGCTCTTTGTTTTCACTTTTGGTCTTTGAGTTAACCTGTCCCTCTGATGCCCATCCCTGTCTCTTAGCGGCCGTGGGGGTGACCAGGCACAAATCGAAGGAGCTGAGTCGCAAACAGAGTCAACAACTAGAATTGCTGGAAAGCGAGCTCCGGAAAGAGATACGTGATGGTAGGCTCCAAAATTGTCTTTGTAGAAAAACAAGCCTGTTATATTTTTATTTTTCGCCCTTACACGGAGGTGGCCACAGTAATGAGAACTGTTTGTATAATAGAAGACAACAGCACAGCAGGGCCTGGGCCTGGCTTTGTGTTTTATTTCAGCTCTTCTCTGCAGCCAAACAAGTCATTATCTATTGTTTCTTCTTTAATGAAAACCAAGGTCATACTCTGTGTTAGACAAAACACCAGAAGATCTTATCCATTGTTTGTGGAGTTAAAATACTGCTCTTGGGATTCTGTTTTGCAGGCTTTGCTGAGCTGCAGATGGATAAATTGGATGTGGTGGATAGTTTTGGAACGGTTCCCTTCCTTGACTACAAACATTTTGCTCTGAGAACTTTCTTCCCTGAGGTAAGAGAGCATTGATCATATTCCTAAGGTTGAGTCTTGAATAATAATGAAGGTGCTTGTTGCTTTTGTCAAAATGAGTGTTTGCTTCCAAGGCAACTATAGATAACGTGCTTGGTACAAAATAATGGCTTACGTTTGAGCAGAGCAGGGAGGAGGGTAATTATTAATTGCATTGATTAGGGTATAAAGCAGTGATGGGTCACTGGTGATTACTCTTTGTCCAGTAACAAAAACCTAGCAGGGACAGAAGCTCAGAGTGATGATTTTGCTTTCTTTTACTCCCAGTGTAGAACTGAACGTGTAGCTGGGAAGTGAGCTAGTTTATTTAAAAATCAATAAATTGTGAGCTAGCCAATTTGTTGTGTTTATCTGCATGACTTACATTGCAGCGACTAGATTATTCACTATTACTTCTCAATTGGAAAGGAAAAATACCACCGGTCAAAAGGAAAGAAAGTAGACATGGATGGAATTGGGAGTTGAAAACAGGCATTTTAGCCTTGTAGAGTTCTAAGAGTTCTCTTCGGTGGTTTTTCTTCAGCTGCACGGTTTGCGTCATCCTCATTTGGTAGACGTAGATGCACGAACTGCTTAATTCATTTGTTCTAGGGCTCAGAGGAATAATCTACTTAACCTTTTGGGTTGCTGGTCTTACCTGTGTTTTACGCGTCCATTTTCTCACTCAGCCCTCTCCATTCACCCTCCCAAGTCTTTGGCGAGGTACACTCATCCTTCGCATCATCACCACCACGTCCTGGTACCCCAGCTCTGCCATATTGCCCTGGTTTTTTTTTTTTTTTGGTCTGATGACCACATAGAGGCCCAACCTCTTAAACACATCAATACCAATGATCGCATTTCAATCTAGACTTCTAAGCAATGGCTGAAATCTCTCCAGGCCAAAGGAGAGTCTGTATCACCTTACCAGAAGCTTCTCTGCAAAAACTGGCCAGAAGCCTAGAGTTCAGAAACCCAGACACACGCAGTAAGCAATTTTCAGCTTCTCTATAATTCTGGAAGCGGACACCACACTATGTAATGCAGGGTCTGGAGTATGGAATGCATCCCTAAAATACCTGCCGTATTTTTTTTGGTCCAAGCCTCAGTGTTATAAATCAAGAAGGCTGTAAATAAGACTTCAGCTTTTTGTGCTGGTGAGGTTTCCCTTAACTTATCCTCCAAGAGTACCAGGCACCGAGACCTGCCATTTGCCACCTCATCCATTTCAATGGCAGAACACCGCCTGGGGAGGGGGAATTCAATTCCCCGAATCAGGATGACTCTGCAGGGCCTCCGCAAAGGCTGCATCACAAGTCCTATTTCCGAGCTATCTGAGATCCCCATTAAGAATTTAAAAGCAATAAAATAACGGAGATTTTTGACTATCAACATGAATGCCGTGTGGGCTTTTACAGTTAATGATTGCCCTTGAGTGCTGAAGAGAGTAATCTGTGGCCTGAAAAAAGAAATGTTCTTATCTTCTATATTTGGTAATCAAGAACAAGATAGAGTAATGAATGTAAAGGAACACTGTTGCAAGTTGAAAGTTTCAAAAAAATAAAATAAAATAAAATCCCAGGAACAATGCTACCTTATTTTAGGAGAGGTGAGAGAGTTGCAGAGGAGCCAAATGGATTTAACTTGGTGTTATGTATAATCTTGAAAAGCAACTGGGAAAACCATAAAAATGGAAGTCAGAAGTTGTATAAAGGAGAGAACGCAGGAGAAAGCCCGCAGAAATTTGTCAGAAGCCTTTTCAAGAAGACCTAAGTCAAAATGGGATTTATAATAATTAAGAAAAGATAGAACAGGGAAACACAGCCTAAGAAGACAATGCCGCTTGAAATGCATTCCAGGCTGCAGAGAAGTCCTGGTATTAAGCAGGCTCTTTATGGATTGATCAGAAGCCAAATCCTCTAGGCCTGGAGGTTGGGGGGCACAGGGGGAGGAACTGGGTGATCAGCACCTGAAAGAAATCAACAGGCAAAATCCAGAGGAGATGGTAGGTTCTCAGTGGAGGCTGAGGTTCTTGCTCTGCGTGTTGGCTTTTAAAGCCTTGCTTTTTATTATGTTGACTCTTCTTTGCTTTGCATAAAATAGGAGAAGAAATAAGGGGTAAGCAGAGGATCTGACCCGAAGGAAAGGGAAATTGGAATGAAAGGAGGAAACGGCCTTAAAACACAGAACGATGGTGGCATTTCTGTATTGAAGGTTAAGAATCAACCTGTTTCCCTTGTCCATTTACGTGAAGTTGGTTCAGCAGAAAAAATATTAAGGACTAGAAAATGCAAACCTAGGGTCTGGGTTTTGTTGTTGTTGTTTTTTGGGTTGTTTTTTTGTTTTTTTTTTCTTTCTTTTTTTACTAGGGAGGATATGGCCAAAATAGTGTCAGGTCTTTTGCCTGGGCTGGCAAATTTGAAACTACGGAGCAAAATTCTTTACAGAAGAATTTTACTTCACAAGATATAAAATTAGGTCAAAGTTTCAATTATTATCAAAAAAGAAGAAAAACCTGAATGGTTTGGGTTTAGCATCTCATTCTGTTGACTCAAAGTATTGCTTAACATACTTTTAAAGTTTTTAACCATTAATTGTAATAAGATTTATGATCCACTACACACCCTCAAATTTTGAAGTTTATATTCCAGAGCTACCTAGCATTTAGAAACCAATGGGTAGTAGCACTGGGGTCTCTACTTTTCTATAAATTAGGAATAAAACCAATAATAACTGACACGGGGCACTTACTCTGAACACGTTTGATTTTCACACTAAACCTCTGAGGTGGGAACCATTATTGTCCCATTTCAGAGATGAGGCAAGGCAGACACAGAGAGGTTAAGAACACATCCCAAGTCATGTGACCAGTGTGTGATTAAAGCCAGGACCGGAACCCAGGTAGTCTGGTCCAGATTCTACGCTGTTAACTACCCCTGTCTTCAATACCATTGTGCACTGAAATATTAGATGCTACTTAGCTAAGACTTGTAAAACTTAGCAACAGAATTTAGTCTTTATCTTTAGAAGGTGAATAGCTTGAAGAGTGGTCTGACGTTTGCATAATCTCCATCAATGACCCCTTCTTTAAATCATTTCTTTTAAAATGTGAGGCGATACCATCATCTACCAAAACTGGAACTGATGCCATGATAATTCTTCTTAGAGGCTTTCAGAATTCAGTGGCATTTCTTGAGAGCTGAATAATTATTTGTGTGTTAGAGAATACGCAGCCACCACAGACCCAGAGGCTCTTTAGATTAGCAAATAATGTCTCTACTTTATTAAAAAACGGACTTGGGTATTATAACAAAAATACACTCTTCATTTCCTTTGGATGTTATGAATAATAAAAGTGTCTCCTTCCTCTCAGTCAGGTGGCTTCACACACATCTTCACTGAAGATATGCATGTAAGTCTCTACGTTTTCATTTTTAGCCCAGTGACTGCCTGATGTTCATAGTATTATCATCTTCATTATCATCTCCATTATTATTAGTTTGAATTTTTATTGTGGGTTTTTTGGGATCATGAATTCAATATTAAATAATTCATTGTCTTGGAAAACCCATTGTGGAGCTACTTTCTAACTTCAAACTTGTACATGATTTTGTATTACACTATATTTCTTTTTCTTTTTTTCAGAACAGAGACGCCAGTGACAAGAATGAAAGTCTCACAGCTTTGGATGCCCTAATCTGTAATAAAAGCTTTCTTGTTACTGTCATCCACACCCTTGAAAAGCAGAAGAACTTTTCCGTGAAGGACAGGTATTAGTCCATTCTTTGTTGTTTTAAAAGCCTTTAAGAAGAGAAAACGAGGCCGGGTATGGTGGCTTAGGCCTGTAATCCCAGCATTTTTGGGAGGCCAGGGTGGGCAGATCGCTTAAGGATAGGAGTTAAACACCAGACTGACCAACATAGCAAAAACTTGTCTCTACAAAAAAAAGGGAAATCAAACCTAAGTCTCTTATTTTATTTCCAAACCACTATCTGAACTTGGTATCTTGAGAACATGGACTTTCCAAAGGCTATTTGATTGAGAGTTTATGTGGCCTTATCTCTGTGTTAGCTCACACCACCCCAACACAGTTTTTTGTTTTTTTGTTTTTAGTTGGAGTCTCTGTGGCCCAGGCTGAAGTGTGTGATCATAGCTCACTGCAGCCTCAACCTCCTGGGCTCAAGCTATCCTCTTGCCTCAGCCTCCTCAAGTAGCTGGAACTACAGGCGCATGCCACCACACCCAGCTAATGTATTGTTTTTGTTGTTATAGTAGAGATGGGGTCTTGCTATATTGCCCAGGCTGGTCTCAAACTCCTGACCTCACACAGTACTCCTTCTGCAAGGATTACAAGCATAAGCCACTATGCCTAGCCCTTTTTCTTTTTTTTAATGTTGAGACAGGGTTTCACTGTGTTGCTGAGGTTGGATTCAAACCCTGGGCTCAAGTGATCCTGCTGCTTCAGCCCCCTGCCCCCAGTTCCCAACAGAGAGTCTATTCTGAAGACACACACGAAACCCTCCCACTCCCAAGTAACCCTGAAAAACCCCAACACACACAAAAAAACCCACATAAATTCTTTTTTTTTTCTCTCAAGACAGAGTCTTGTGCTGTTGCCCAGGATGGAATGCAGTGGCACAATCTAGGCTCACTGCAACCTCCACCTCCCGGGTTCAAGCGATTCTCCTGCCTCAGCCTCCCCAGTAGCTGGGATCACAGGAGTGTGCCACCACACCCGGATAATTTTTGTATTTTTAGTAGAGATGGGGTTTCACCACATTGGCCAGGCTGGTCTCGAACTCCTGACCTCAGGTGATCCACCTACCTCGGACTCTCAAAGTGCTGGGATTACAGGTGTGAGCCAACACACCCGGCACATAAATTCTTTTTTTTTTTTTTCCTTTTTCTTTTTTTTTTTTTTTAGAAAGAGAAAAAGAATAATAAGAAAAAGAATAAAGAAGAGGAAGAAAGAGAAAGAGGAAGAGGGAGAGAGAATAGGGGTATTGCTTTGTTGCCCGGGCTAGAATGCAGTCTAAATATGGGTATGCCTATAATTATCCTTAATAATGGAGACATGAAAGAAAATGAGGGAAGAGAGTAACAAACAAGGAGCCAACCAACATTTCGTTTAAACTTCTAAGTTGATATGATGTGGTACTGATAAGAGTGTATATTTTGTGTAAAGTGGAGAGTTCTATAAATGTTAATTACGTTTACTTGTTCCAGATCTGAGTTCAAGTCCTGGATATCGTTAATTTTCTGTCTCATTGATCTGTCTAATGTTAATGTTGAAGTCTCCCACTATTATTGTGTGGGAGTCTAAGTCTCTTTAAAGTCTTGTATGTCTGGGTATTCCTGTATTGGGTGCATATATATTTAGAACCTTTAACTCTTCTTGTTGTTGCATTGATTCTTTTATCATTATATAATGTCCTTCTTTGCTTCTTTTGATCTTTGTTGCTTTAAATACTATTTTATCAGAAGCAAAAATTGTAAATTCTGCTTTTTATTTATTTATTTTTGCTCTCTGGTTAGTTGGTAAGTCTCTCTCCATCCTTTGTTTTGAGTCTTTGTGTATCCTTGAATGTGAGATGGGTCTGGATGCAGCATACAGTTTTAGTTTTTTGTCCAAATTGGCTGGCTGTCTTTGAATTGGGGAATTTAGTCAATTTAAATTTAGAATTAATAATAATATATGTGAGTTTAATGCTGCCATTTGCCCATTAGTTGATATAAATTCTTCATTATATTAATGTTCTTTACTTTTTGGTATTTTTTAGAAAGGCTGATACTGTTTATTCCTTTCTATGTGTAGTGGTTCTTTCAGAAGCTCTTGTAAAGCAGGCCTGGTGGTGATGAATTCTCTGAGTGCTTGCTTGTTCACAAAAAACTTTGTTTTTCTTTCACTTATGAAGCTTAGTTTGGCTGGATGTGAAATTCTGGGTTGAAAATTCTTTTCTTTAAGGATGTTGAATATTGGCCCCCACTCTCTTCTGGCTTGTAGGGTTTCTGCTGAGAGATCTGCTGTGAGTCTGATAGGCTTCCCTTTGTGGGTAACCTGACCTTTCTCTCTGGCTGCCCTTAGTATTTTCTCCTTCATTTCAACCCTGGTGAATCTGACGATTATGTGCCTTGGAGTTGCTCTTCTTGAGGAATATCTTTGTGGTGTTCTCTGTATTACCTGGAGTTGAATATTATCCTGTCTTACTAAGTTGGGAAAATTTTCCTGAATAATATCCTGAAGCATATTTTCCAGCTTGGATTCATTCTCTTCGTCACATTCAGGTACACCTATCAAGCGTAGATTAGGTCTTTTCACATAGTCCCATATTTCTTGGAGACTTTGCTCATTCCTTTTTATCCTTTTTTCTCTAATCTTGTCTTCTAGTTTTATTTCATTAAGTTGGTCTTCGACCTCTGATATCCTTTCTTCTGCTTGATCAATTCGGCTGTTAAAACTTGTGCATACTTCACGTAGTTCTCGTATTGTGTTTTTCAGCTCCATCAATTCACTTATTTTCCTCTCTAAATTTTGTATTCTTGTTGACATTTCGTCAAACCTTTTTTCAAAGTTCTTAGTTTCTTTAGATTGTGTTAGAACAAGTTCTTTTAATTCACAGAAGTTTCTTATTATCCACGTTTTGAAGCTTGCTTCTGTAATTGGAACACACTTGTTCTCCATCAAGCCTTGTTTCGTTGCTGAAGAGGAACTGGGATCCCCTGCTGAGGAAGAGGCGTTCTGATCTTGGGTATTCTCAGCCTTTTTTGGCTGTTTTCTTCCCTTCGTTGTAGATTTATCCATCTGTGGTCTTTATAATTACCGTCTTTGTAATTGGGTTTCTGAGTGGACGTCCAACTTATTGATTCTCAGCGCCGAAATCTGAGCAACCCACTGCGCCGACTAAATCAGCGGCGTTGAGATTAATGGTGCTTTTCTGACTCTGCACCGAGAACCGACGCTCTGAGGCGCCGGCAAAACCGCCTCGCCGGTCACAAGAGTCGCGCTGGCGACCCGTGGGGCTCCTCCGCTGGGAATCTCCTGGTGCGTGAGCAACAAGAATTCATGTGAAGGTGTGGCGTCCTCTCGTTCTTTGTGTTTTCACTGGGAGCTACAATCCCGAGCTGCTAGTGATCAGCCATCTTGGATCTCTCTCGCTGCAATAGATAAATTCTTAATCAAAAAGCAGAAGTGTCATTTTTTATTTTTAAAACATCTGAAACTTTGGAAGACTCACTTCTTGTTAGCACTCTAGTTTAAATGCTGAAAACACAGAAAAGGTTCTAGAAATAGAAGTGGTTAGAATCTAAACATTAAAAAAAAAGAAAGAAAAAAGCTCCCAACCCATCAGGACAGCTCTCTGCCCTGCCCTGCCCTGTCCTGCCCTGCCCTGCCCTGCCCTGCCCTGCCCTGCCCTGCCAGTGAGCTTCCATGGCAACTCCAATCAGTGTCCAGCAGGGCCTGCAGTCCCCAGTTGACCCAGCTCTTTTTCAACAGGTGTCTGTTTGCCTCCTTCCTGACCATTGCACTGCAAACCAAGCTGGTCTACCTGACCAGCATCCTGGAGGTGCTGACCAGGGACTTGATGGAACAGTCTAGCAACATACAACCTAAACTCATGCTGAGACGCACAGAGTCCGTGGTGGAAAAACTCCTCACAAACTGGATGTCTGTCTGCCTTTCTGGTTTCCTCCGGGTAAGTGTCACATCCCTCAGCAGTGTCAAGAGGTAAGACAATAGGCAGTTATTTTTAGCGACTCTGATACCTTTGCCGGGATAAATCCTGAATGCTCGGCGGCGTCAGCATTTAACCATGTTTTGTCTTGGTCCTTACCCGGAACAGACAGAGAGAAAGTAAACATTATTTTTGCTGCAACTGGCCTATGCAAATGTAATTCATTTAGAATTTCCTCAGGTGAGACTTTTCAAGTGAGTTCACCTTCTCACATCGATTCAAACCCAGAGCCCAGTCGGCCCATTTAAGAAAATGTGTTGAGAAAAGGGAATATTTCAAACACCGAAGAGAACAGACTGTTTCGTGCCCTCTGAAGCATTGTAGAAATACCCATTACCCACCGATATGCAGTGAGCTAATTGCAGTCAATTCCTACCAGCCATTCCGCATTAAAGCTGTTCTCCAAAGAGCTGCCTCCCCTGGAGTTTGCTTTGTTGGAGTTACCTGTGAATGTGGTTGTAATCTAATTGAACTTTAAAATCTTTTCAAATGCAAACTTTCTATAGAGTCCCGTGGTGAAGAGAGTGGGCTCTAGAGTCCGCTACTTGATCTGAATCTAGACTTCCCCACTTACTTGGCTTTGTAACTTAGAGAACGGGAAGATTTTAGGACTGTTTTGAAGCACAGATGAGAAAACATAGCAATTGCTCAGCACGGAGGAAGCCTCCAGAAACGTTGGCCATTACTATTATAAAATATTAATGTGAAAAGAAGCGTGTCCTGTTGAACCTGATCTTCACTCAGCCCTCTGAGGCCCCTGGTACGGAAGATTCTTACCCTTTCATTTTACCAGCCATCCAGATTCCAGCAAAACTGCATAATTGTGTATTTGTAGCGAGTTCCGAAATCTAATTAAACTTTGAATAAGATACACCGCTATGCCACAGGTTTTAACAGTGCTGCTTAAGTGTAGCTTCAACAGCAGCGCTTTAAATAGACTGCGCTTAGTTTAATGTTTAATGCAATCTTACAAGTAGATGCACAACCATTTTTTTTTAAATTTCTCACCAACCCCTTCCTCTCCCCAGGGCAATACCCATTTATTAAGATTAATGAAATCTGCCTGCTTCTCTGTTTACTTGGCATAAATCATCAGAGGCTTTGGGGAGTGCGGAGCCAGTTATTTCTGGGATGAATATTTTTCTGCTTCCCACTGTGGTTGCTTTTGCCACAACTGCTGCGAGATGGAGGCACCAGGACTCTCACCCAGTTCCCTGATCTTGGTGTTCAAAGGCCAACTCCTGCCCCACCACAGTCCCACTGGATCAGAAGCTCTGGAAGAGAAGCCCAATAATCCGTGATTTTCACAGGTCCCTGGGGTAGCAGAGAGCACACCAGACTAGGAGTCTTGGTTAGAAGCAGCAGGTTTGGGCTCTGAAATCATCTCAGCCCGGGTCAGCTGTGTCTCTGGGCATGGCTCTTTCCATCTGGGCATCTGTTTTCAATCCACCAAATGATGGGCGTGCGTGGGCATTGCCTTTAAATCCCTTTCCAGCTCTTTCTACTGGAGGCTTGTGAGTCTTAACTCTGTTCTTTCAAGGGCTGCTGTTGGGCATTAAAGGGGTGAGATGTTCAGAAAATCTGGGCTGCCAGCCCAAACGGCCTCCTTGAGCAAAGCATTCTGGGTCAAGATTTCACAGTGCTGATTCAAGAACGTCTCGAGCACTCTGGGTGGTGAGGGGGCGGCACGGCTCGCCAGGAGGAAGTGGCATCCAGCCAGTCCGTGACACTTTCACTTTCAGTGGAACAATTCCCGCTGGTGCGGGGGTCTGATGTCCCTCCACCAGGTGCTCAAGGGCATCGGGGACACCGACTCCTAGTCCTCCCATCCTACCCCATAGACGTTTCATGGGTGACAGCTCCGTGACCTCCAGGTAACTTTCCCTTCCAAGACGCCAAGGCTTTGGGGGTAAAATAATCATGCCGTTTATTGAATGTGCCAGACAGCATGGTAAGAGCTTTACCTGCCTTTTCTAATTTCATCCCCTTAAGGGTCCCATGAGCTAGGTGCCTTCATGACCATTTTGCATATGGGGGAACTGGAACACACAGAAGAGCTGTGACTCTCCCCAGGTCTCACTGCTACTGTGGGACAGCACCAGGGTCCGAGAGCTCTTACCCACCCCGCTTTGCACTGAAAAGATGGCGTTTGCCCTGGTCTGTTACAGTGTGGAAGCCTGGCTCCCGGGGGAGGGGAGTCAGATCTCCAGCAGCTGTGACTCACCTAAAAGTTGTGTTCAGTGGTGACAAAGAAACTTCATGGCCTTGTGATTCCCCAAATCAGCCACACATCAGAATTCTCCTCCAGCCCTGCTTCCCCCTGCTCCTGCCCCGGGAACGTATGAAAACTACAGATGCCCAGGCCTCATCTTCAGAGAGATGCCAGCTCTGTAGGTCTAGACAGGAGCCCAGGCATGTGAATTTTTAACAGGAGCCCCAAGGGGTTCTGGTGCTTAACCAGGGTTAGACCCAGGAGCGTGGGCAGAGTGTAGGGCCAGATGTTACTTAACTCAGTCTAGCTACCCTCCAGAGAGTTCCTGACCACAGGGCCCCTGAATCCAGAGCTGCTCCTTCACATATTCCCCGAGAGCCCACATGGCCCCCCAACTCCAGCCCCTGCGGGAACAGGCAGCCCCTGTCCTCAGCCTCCCTTCTGTCTGTGCTAGGGAAAAGAGGTTCTAGTTTTGTGGTCAGGGCATTACTTGGGGTCGGGGGAGGCGGTGCAGGGAGAAGAGAGTGGTGAGGTTGTAAACCACTAAATAAAGGAAGTTTCTCATGAGAATTAAATGTCACGCACTTGGCCCCCTGCCCTCCCTACCTTGGAAATTTCTGAACATTCCACTTCTGCCCTGCACTGAGAGGAGACTCAAGGATGTATCACAGCAGGGACAGCAGCCTAAAGGGAGCTGCAGGGTGGCAGGAGGTGGCAAGAGGAAGCCTGGGGACTGGGATGGGCAGATATTCCTACAGCGAGTATAAAAGAAGGGGCAGGGTTGCAGTGGGATCCCGAGAGACTTAAAGGATGTCTTAAGTAACTTACCTGTGCAAGGGAAAGCAGGTGAGATCCAGTGGCATCCTCCTTTACCAGCCGGATGTGTCACCTGTCAAGCTCGACTCTGTTAACTGGCACTTCGAGCTCCAGCCACGTGGCTGGCTTTTCATCATCACTAAAGCATTTTGACTTCCTAGCCATGGTTCTTCCTCCGCCACAGAGGCCTAATGTCCATTGATTATGGAAGGTTCGTTATTTAGCAAATACTCTACAGCTGACCCAGGGCTACACGCCTTGGAGGGATGCCGTGGAAACAACACACAGCCTCCCACTTGAGGTGCTGAGAGTCCTTTGGAATACAGATGTCCAGGGCTGCAAATGTGAACCATTTCCATCACAGCAGGGGAGGCAGCCCCACCCCCAGCCAGGAAAAATTTGAAGAAAGAGCCAATCAGGTTGGTCCGAGTGTTTGGGAAAAACCATAGAGGAATTGGCTCTGGTTCAGGGAAAGAAGACGGAGTCCCTCTGGCCCAGCACCAGAAAGCACATCAGGTGGGACTGCGTGGTGTGCCTGGGGACTGCCCGGGCTGGGCCTGGCCCATGGAAGAGACAAGGCTGCACACACTGTTGAACTGTGGGCTGCTTCCTTTGTGAAGTGCTGTTAACACCAGATGACGTTGTCTTTGGTAAATGTGTAAAATGTTCTTCCATTTATCCTGGTTATTAAGGATAATTGTGCATTTTTTATTTCTGGTTTGCTAAAGGGCGATTAAATATGAATGTAAACAAAGGTACACTCTCCATATCTAACTGTTCTTAGGCATTAACTCACTGATGGGCATTAGACTGCCATACGTTAAGTTGAAACACAAAATAACAAGGGATACTCTGGGTACCGCACATTGCTGTGACTGTGCACGTGTGCAGACGTGCATTCGCGATGGAGAGAGGAGACGGTTAGATTCTGAGTTTTGCATCCAATCCCAGCGGAGCCAAATGTGTTTTCCTGAGAGTTTCATGTTGACTGTTAGAAAACCCTGTCTCCCATCTCCTGCCTTACTGCCACGAACAGAAACTTTAATTCTTTGGAAAGTACAGTGGATACCACAGAAAGCTAACTATCACTTTCGTGTCTTTTCAAGGAGACTGTTGGAGAGCCCTTCTATTTGCTGGTGACGACTCTGAACCAGAAAATTAACAAGGGTCCCGTGGATGTAATTACTTGCAAAGCCCTGTACACGCTTAACGAAGACTGGCTGTTGTGGCAGGTTCCGGAATTCAGTACTGTGGTATGTTTTCATAAAGCTCCCAGCCAGACTCCCAAATAAATCTGGCGAGGAATTAGAGGGTGGGGGTGGGTCACTTACAGTGAAATGGTATCATTTCTACTGTAGGAGGCCCTGTAGCATTTAGTTAATTAAAAACAGTAGTTGATACAAATATTAACACGTGTTCACATAATAGATTTTAATTACTGAGATTGGGGGAGAAAATATTGTAATGATGCCTGGGATACTCATCAATTTCCAAAGATTTTAATATCAGGATTGCTTATAGCTTTCAGTGTTGTCAAAGGAAATGCAAAGTACTCCCTATTCAGCACTTATAATTGCAATCAGAATTTCTCAAATGGCTCTGCTCCGGGAAGACAATGTGTGAAGATATATTTCAACCAAATTGAGGCCGTCTTATTTTAGAACGATAACACAAGACAAATTCCACTGCATTCCCCATGCAACGTGACGCCTTTACTTTGTTTTCATGGATTAGTTACAAATGTTTGGTGTCATACACTTAATGTACTGTGATCTCATAGATATTTTTAGAGGAACGCTGTAAATCACTACAGGAAGACGATTGCCTAGCTGCTGGAGGGTTTCACTCGTTTGAAAATTTTTTAATTCATCCCCACCGCACCCACTCCATGCCCTTCCTAAAAAAAGCAAGCAAGCCCAATTTGGGGCACATTCAGGAATTTCAGAGAGGGAGCCAAGCATTGAAAAAAACTTCAGAATTATTTAGGAATTTTCTATGCTTTTCTGTTGATAGACTTGGAGAAGAGATTGCTGTGTTTTGGTTTGATCTTTAGCTTTATGAAGACTCTGGGCTTCTTCATGGTCTCGTTAGTGGAGGAGGAAAAGATTACAGTGGGGTTTGGGAATTGCTAATTAAGAGAGCCGAGTCTCCTGTGGCTTCGCTCTGGAGGGTGGGGACTGCGTTATCATCCGGGAAGAATTCATTCCCTAATTGGAGAAGGCACCATGTTGCTGTGGACCGGGTTATGGTTAGATGCTCTGGTGGGAGATAAGTCCATAGGGCAGCTCTTTTGAGTTCTCTGCCACTGCCAGATGCAGCTCACCCTTCCATTGAAGATGGCACCATGCTCAGCTGCCATCCGAGAGTGGGAAGCTGAGCTGAAAGCCAGCACTTCTCAGCCTACTGAATTCTGTTAGTATACCCATCTGCATCTGAGAGGCAGTAGATTGGGGTGCAGTGGTTCTCAGACTTCAGCATCTAGTAGAATTGCCCAGAAAGCTTGCTAAACACCAACCAACTGCTAGGCAGCACGCTGGAGTCTCTGATGCAGTAAATCCAGGATATGGCCCAAGAATTCACTTCTCTAACCAGCTTCCTAACGCTGTCAGTGCTGCTTGAAAACTATTGGTAGAGTGGTTAACAGCGTGGGCTCTGGGGCCAAACAGGTTTGAATCCTGCCTCTGCCACTGGTTAGCTGTGTGACATTGGGCAAGTTTCTAAACCTCACTGTACCTCATTCATTCTCCCTACGTGTAAAATGAAAATGATAGTTATGTTTCCTACTCAGCTCATGGGGTGTTTTGAGGATTAGGAGTTAGTATTATAAAAAGCATTTAGAACATTGCCTGGCACATGAGTGCTACCTAAAGCTTTATTCTATTTGATGCAATTCTCACTGAACCCGTGTTTAAAATGCAGGTCCAAATATACCAGTGCCTGGGCTTTCCCTCGGGATTGACTGAATCAGAATGTCTGGGGATGGAGCCCAAGCATGGATATATTTTGTAAACCTTCCAGATGACTCTGATGTATGTTCAGCCTGGGCACCACTGGGTACCTTGGAGAACAAGAGACAAACTTTGCACAGGGCCTGTTGACTCACCTTTCACTGATTCTGAGCCTGTCGTTCCTAACCTAGAAGATGTTCTGCTTTTACTTTAAGATGTTTTGGAAGCCCCAAAGGTCCCCAAAGAGAGATATTTGCAAGTGAAATATAAGGGGAATCCTCCAGTATTTCAGTTGCAAGACAATATTGGACCCAAACAGGAAGGATAGGAGATAGAGTTGGAATCGGGGAAGAAGTCAGATGCTTGAGGCAACTTTTGAGGTTTGAAGCCTTTTTTAATGCATTACATCTGAATGCGTTTTCTCCCTTTCATTTGGAAACATTATTTATTTCACAGTCAATTAAGACCATGTGTTTCTGATTTGTTAACACTCAGCTCATCATCAAAATGTTACTTGATGTTGAAGAAATTCATGTCGACTCTTGAATTCTTTTTTTTCTTTATAGCCCTTGGGGAAAAGGGTAATGGAAAATTACGATTTCAGAAATCCACATAAATCTTCCTTTTCAAATTCAGATTTGCTGGTACATAGAGCTGAGCCTGGAAAAGGAATGGGTGGGGCCCCTTGTTTTCAGGGGCCTTGCCTTTAAAAAGGATTGTTAGTGCCTGTCATGGGGCCTGGCCGAGCCCCCCTTTCGTGGTGGGTGGTTGTACTAGAAACTACAGAGAAGACACGTGATCTGGTCTATGCTTGTGTGAAAAACTGTTAGCAGAAGGTCAGTATAAAAAATTTAAGGGTTTTCATTTCCTTTTAGGCATTTCCCCGAGCCTGAACCACCATATTTCTAATTTTCTTCTTCCTCCCTTCCCTCCTCCCCCTCTTTTACACTTCCCCCCTCCACCCCTCCCAAGCATGTATACCCAGTTTTAGGACTTGATTTACCAAATTTGCCTGAGGCAGTTTATGTAATTGAAAACCAGGTGTGGTGAACAAACTGATTCTGTGTCTGTGTGTGCGCGCGCGCTCGAGAGAGGTTGGGGGCAGGTTCTTTCAAGGAAAGGAAAGTCAGAAATCAAGAGCATCCTCACGAACCACTTGAAATGACGGAGCCTGGTGCCAAGGCAGGGACACGTTTGGAAAAAAGGCTCCCAAACTCGTGTTCAGCTAAATGCTCAGAAGCGCAGCACCTCATATAGCAACCTAAAAGTTAGCTTTCACACCTCTCAGATGAGGATGTTTTCTCTCTGAGGTGTGGGGGGTTTTCTAGAACATAAAGGCATCTTGCCAATTTCTTATACATGGAATCATGATACTAACAAACGGGCCCTGGGAAGTAATGCTCTGTTCTTGCATATTGAGAAGAAAATTCCTCTGTCTTGCCAGAAATCCGAGCAAAGTCCCCTAGAGCCATGCTTACTCTATCCTTCTCTATCAAGGCATTCCAGGCTGGTGTTTAATGAGGCAGCAGTGAGACAGACTGCCCTGATATTGGCATCCTCCCTAATATCAGCACCAAGGGTAGAGCTGTGCACACACAGGACTTTAGTTTTCCTTAATATCTAGGAATTCGGATCGGACAGCTAGAAGAGAATAAGACCTTTTTTTTTTTTCTTTTTTCTTTTTCTTTTTTTTCTTTTAAATCTCAATCTGTAGCACAGGCTGGAGTGCAGTGGGGCAGTCTCAGCTCGCTGCAAACTCTACCACCTGGGTTTAAGTGATTCTCCTGCCTCAGCCTCCCAAGTATCTAGGATTATAGGTGCCTGCCACCATGCCAGGCTAATGCTTGTATTTTTAGTAGAGACACAGTTTCCCCATGTTGGCTAGGCTGGTCTTGAACTCCTGGCCTCAAGTGATCCACCCGCCTCGTCCTCCCAAAGTGCTGGGATTACAGGTGTGAGCTACTGTATCTGGCTGAGAATAAGACCTATTGCTCTGCTGGGTTTTTCCCCACCATTTGCAAAATTTTAAACACATTTGATTTTGTTGATGGAGAATCTCAGACTCTCACTCAGCTTGAGTGTTATCAAGAACTCAAGAACTTTGGAGGAGTTAGTGAAAGTTTGAGGATTTCGGTCCCAGAAAAGTGCATCCCATGAGAGAAGAGACATTTACTTCACTTTCAGAAGGAGATGAGAAAAACCAATAACTTGTAGCAAGCATGCTGAATTAGCAAGTTTGACTTGTAATCAAAGTTAAGTGTGAAATGGTTTTTTGAACTCTTAAACTCAGAAAATGAGCTTGCCAATCTGCTGTATCTGAGATATAGCATCTTGGCACCCTGAAAAACAGTGTTCCGACGAAAATATCGCCCTCCTTCTCCTCTCCATGAACAAGTTTTCAAGATTATTAGAAGTTCTTGAAAACGCATAAGTATGTGCCTGCAGAAATATTAACGCATCCATCATGATTTATTGAAGGTTTATGCCAGCCTACTCCAGTCTGTCTCTTTGTCTAGCAGTTACCATTTTGGGACAATTATGTTTAATAAAAGATCTCATATATAACAGAGCCTGGGGCGTCTCCACCAGGAGTTTCTCACTGGTACACCTCCTTCCACAGCGCTCTCCCTACCCATCCTGGCGGCCTCTGTTCCATTTAGTTTGTCCTTCAGAAGATCCATTAGCCCCATAATTAAACAACCCACTGTCCCGATTAAGTCATTCTCTGTTACTTCAATTACATCCCATTGTTCATTAAATCCTGATGTTTGCACTGCAGCAATCTTGTTTTTAATACTCCTAGCATTTGTGGAGAAACAGTGAAGTTAATTAACAATTCTCGAGCTTTTTCTTTTTCTCTCTACTATCGTGCAAATCATTTCCATTATGACTTGCAATAATACTGAAACCATTACTAACTTCATAGTTACTGTTCTGAGCTTCCTGATCAAAGAGTGAAACCATTCTTTATCATCACTTTAGGTAAGTCATTCCCTCGTTGATGTCAAGCCATGAAAAATGAAAAATTAACCTGTAATGGGTGCTCTAAATGACTTTTTCTCTATACGTTTTCTTCTCATGCCTGTAATCCTGGAATTAGAAAATAATTTAGTTATCTAAATATAAAAGTATTTAATTTTCTTCTTTATAGCTCAAATGTGACTCTATTATTTTATTGTTAGGATGATTATTTATATTTGTACCCCTCAGAGAATGGTAACTTTTATCACAAGTCATGGCAGAGATAGAAAGCATTTTCCAGATTTGTCTTGTTGCCATTGTCAAAGTCGGCATTGCATTTGAGG